ATTGGGTCGGATATTGGGTCGGGTATTGGGTCGGTATTGGGCCGGGAATCGGGCCAGGTTAAATTAAATATATATTTTTTATTTAAATTAAATTTAATAATATTATATATATATATAATTATTTTTAATATTTATCGGGTCGGGTATCGGAGCGGTAATCGGGTAATCGGGGCGGAGATTATCAAACTCGTCCCCGTCCCCGTCCCCGTTTAAAATAAATGGGTTTTCCTTGTCCCCGTCCCCGTTTATCATCTCCGAACCCAACCCATTTAATTCGATTTTCGATTTTCCCCGTCGAATTCAAATTTTTTTACCATCCCTAGTTCTAAGTTTGGCGCAGTTTCCTCAAGCCTTCATTTCCTGGACTAGATTGTTCTTTCACGAAAAAAATTAAAAACAAACTTTATTTCTAGATTTTGATCATTCATTTCTGTTTTATTCCCCCACCCCCAAAAAAAAATACACTCGGGGAATCCACCCTTTTTGCCCCCTTATTTCGGAATTAACTTATTTCATTATTAAAAGAATTATTATTATTATTATTAAAGATTATGAATTCGAACACGATTATATAAAATACTTAAATATTCATTATCAAATAATTAAAAAAATTAAAATATATACTAATTAATAATCAACTTAATAAAAACAATAATATTATTTTCCTATCCTCATCAGGTAACCTTGTAAAGGTGCTCCCTTTAATTTCTTGTTATTCCAAGGACATTTCTTTCACCCCCACTAATTTCCATTCCTAGTACTTGAAAGTCTTTGCTTAATATGTCTAATGTTATCTACGCTTACGCTCAACTCATATGACCAACGTGTTCGAATTATAGATTGTTTCTTTTTATCTTTTGTTCATATAGTTCTATGATCCTTAACCCCTTCTACGTTTCTTGGGTTCCGTTTAAAGGTCCAATGGCCCCCATCATTCTTTCCTTCATTCGGTGCATTTTTCTGGAGTTTTAAGATTCAAAATTCGCTGATACATAAAAAAAGTATCTTTGAGTGTGAATTTGTATACTTGTTTCTTTCAATCATATGGTTTTAAGATTTTAAAGTTTCATTGCTCATAGAAATATAGATTGGTGTTTTACATTCGTATGTATTTTGGTTCTTTTTGTTTACAGGAGTGAACTGGAGTTTTGACTGAAAGATGGTGGCGTTTGGGAAGAAGTTGAAAGAGTCACAGATTCAAGAATGGCATGGGTATGCAGTATATACATATGTACACTCTGATTGATAGTGGATTTACTTTGTAATTTCTTCAGGTATTATATTAACTACAAGCTATTGAAGAAGAAAGTCAATCAATATGCTCAAGAACTGGAGGTTGGAGCTCAAGATCACCATTATGTTCGCAAGGACTTCTCTAGAATGCTAGATAGTCAAGTAAGCTTAAACAAATTTGATGAATTTCATCTGCAGCAAGAAGTACTGCAAAGGCAAGCCTGTTTACTGCTTTCTTTCTTTGCTTGGCGTGGGGTTCAATTTTTAGATTGAAAAGATTGTATTGTTTCTGCTGGAACAACAAGGAGAACTGGCAAACAGATTGTCTGATCTTAGGGAACAGCATGATGAAATTTTGCAGCGGTCCGATGGATCCAAAATATTCGAGTTACGAGAAGCATATAGAGGAGTAGGATATGATCTTTTAAGGCTTCTCTTCTTTGTTCAGATGAATGCAACTGGCTTGAGAAAGATTTTGAAGAAATATGATAAGCACTTTGCTTATAGATTCACTAACTACTATGTCAAAACCCGTGCTGATCATCCTTATTCTCAGCTTCGACAAGTTTTTCGGCATGTTGTAATGCATCCGATTTCAGAATCGGTTTTCTCTGCTCTTTTATTATGTTAATAATATATTTTACAGAAATTGCTTAGTTGTAGTTTCTTTTTTTCCTTTGATACATGACATGCAGATAAATTATAGCAGCATGAATCAGCTTTATCAGCTAATGGTTGACCATTCATGCAGGGTATCGGGGCCGTTGTTGGAGCCATATCTCGCAATCTTGCGGACCTGCAAGACCATCAAGGGAAAAACGTATCGATATATGATCAGCCTGCTTTATCCCATCCGGTTTTTTCTTCATTCCTTTCACTATTTAGGCAGTGTTCGATACTCTGATTTTGTCTTTGTCAAATTTCTAATCACATTTGAAACTTGCAGGACCCTGTGGTCCATTCTATAAAAGCAGCGGTAAACAGATTATCAAATTCAACAAGTTTTCTCGAGTTTTTGGGGAAGCATGCATTTATTATGCAAGATGATCTACCAAGTCCATCGGAAGATGATGCTGCCGAGCAGAGATATCATTTCATGTCGCTTCTCTTGAACTTGGTTAACACATTTCTATATATGGTTAACACATATATTATTGTCCCAACAGCAGACAATTACTGACTTAGCCTCGGAGCTGCAGCAACTGTTTGTGGCGTTGTAATTGGTTCAATGGCTGTTGCACAAGTATTCTCTTCGGTTTATTTTAGTGCATGGTCGAACAGATCATACTTGAGGCCACTTGTGTTTAGCAGCATTGTGCTTCTCATCGGGAACACCTTGTATGCCCTGGCATATGATCTTAACTCGATTGTTGTTCTTCTCGGTCGACTATTTTGTGGGTAAGTTATCTGGAAAGAGGTTCGCATCAATAAGTGCTTTATGCCTCTCGTTCCTCTGAATGATTCATCTTCACTACTATTACTATATTAATGAACAAGTTTGGGCTAATGGCATTCCCAGGTTAGGTTCTGCTAGAGCTGTAAACAGGCGTTATATCAGTGATTGTGTGCCACATAAACTGAGGATGCGTGCATCTGCAGGTTTTGTTAGTGCAAGTGCCCTCGGAATGGCATGCGGTCCAGCTCTAGCTTGCTTATTCCAAACTGATTTTAAGATTTATAATCTCACGTTTAACCAGGACACGTTTCCTGGTTGGGTTATGGCTGTTTCTTGGCTTGTCTACTTATTTTGGTTGTGGATTTATTTTAGAGAGCCTCCTTAAGAGATCAAGACGAACATAACGCCACAGGAAGCCCATGCTGGTTGGTTAACAAGACTGAACGCTTATGAATACATCTTGCGATTATTGTTTTCTTTTAGTTCATCGTATACCATATCAAAGTATTGCCATTTTCTGCATTACTTGATATATTTTTGTATGAGTCGGCCTTTCTGGATCCAACGTTTCTACTCTGTATAGCAAGTCTGCATTTTATCTTACATGCACAGTTCCATCCATGGACAATGTCATTCAACGGTTCATTCAAGGAACAAACTTTGCCTGTTCTAGGTTCGGCGGTGAACTATACAGTAGAGAACGGTTTCACGCAGCCACTGCTTTTAAACATGGAATCCAAACAGGGTCAAAATGGAGACCAAGAATATGAAAATGACGACGAGGAAGATTCTGGTGAGAAAACTAGCAAGCCTGTCACCTCAATTGTATCAGCATACAGGTTACTCACACCATCTGTGAAGGTATTATTAAGTTGATCCTTCAGTTTCAGTTTAGCTTCACTTGAACTTGTAGTCTCTGAACTAACTTCACGCCGGTCCTTACCAAATCTGTGCTATTGTTCAACAGGTGCAACTATTTGTTACTTTTATGCTTAAATATGCAATGGAAATATTGCTTGCTGAAGCAAGTGTCATCACTGCGTATTACTTTATATGGTCAATCAACAGCGTGGCCATCTTTCTTGCATGTCTTGGCTTAACAGTGCTTCCTGTAAACATAATTGTCGGAACCTAAGTCAGCAACATGTTCGAAGAAAGGTAAGTTCAAATATGAAAATAAGCATATTAACGGTCCCATTGAGCTCATGTGGACATGATGGTAAAAAATAAGCTCCGAGTTTACCGCGAATGGATTGCATACGTGCCATTTAAATTTATTGCAGGCAAGTTCTGCTGGCTTCTGAAATCTTGGTTTTGGTTGGCATTCTCCTAAGCTTCCATATTGGGATTCCTTATTCTGTGCCTTAGTATGTTGGCTCTACAATCACCACTTTTGTATCTGCGGAAGTGCTTGAAGGTACATTTTTGGGACGAAACAATGCCATAGCAAAACTGAATGGTTTAACCTTCCATTAATGGCATATCTATTGCTTCCTGAATGTAATTCTGGGCTTCCCCTCTGAATCCAGGTGTGAACTTGTTGCTCTTGTCGCGTGTAATGTCGTCTAGGCTTTCTCGTGGAACTTACAATGGAGGGCTTCTTTCAACAGAAGCAGGAACCCTAGCTCGAGTGATTGCAGGTGGAACTATAACAGGGGCTGGCTACTTGGTTGTGTCTGGGCTCTTGAATGTTACCTTAGTTCCTTCATTATTCATCTGTATCTCCTCCATTGTTGCCACCTGCGTTACTTACAATTCTCTTTACTAACACTTTGTTGTATGTAAATTTCTTTTGCCAATTATACCACAAGAAGACATTTTAATTTGGTGCAAGTAATTTTAATTGCAATTATGTTTACATCTGACTTTATAAAAAAATTTATAAATCCAATGTATATATAATGTGTTTTTTTCACAAGATCTCATGTTTTAAAATGTTGAATAAATTAATATAAATTATTTTATTTATAAAGTAAAAAATAAGGTAGATGTTTAAAATATTAAAATAATCTTTCAAACATTTTTAAAGGTCAAATAATTTTTTTAAAAATTTTTTTAGGAGTCTAATGATAATTTCTCAAGTTTTGGGGCTATTCTCTGAGTCTATGTAGCTCCGCCAATGGCTACAAATAAACCCATTGATCAATTGCTTAATATACACAAATCATATCAAATTACTCGAGCTTTATATGGTTGCTATTTTGAAACATTCAAGTCAGCGGCAGTTACAATCGTGAAACTAGCCCAATTATGTGTTTTTAGTAGAAATTTATATTACAAATCTTATATTTTTAAGGAAACGATAAACAAACAAAAAACCACCTTTAAGGGAAAAAAAGCATAATATAAAACAATAATACAACTGAATGAAAGTTCTATTTGAATTTAAAGTCTTGTGAATTACAAACATATATAGATGTATAAGTATGACATGAAACATTCCATGCACGTGTTGTGATATTAAAACATAATGCCTTCCAACAAATAACTCCGGTTTTGTAGAAAGATTTTCTGGGTACTTCCAGTTAGTTTTTGGGTGACACTAAACGGAAGAGAGCAAAAAACGTTTTTGGTTGGAGGAGAATGGGGGACAATCAAGACGCACCGGTGCCAACGGTCCAAAACATACTGGACCAGAAGAGCCTGAAGTGGGTATTTGTTGGCGGCAAAGGAGGTGTGGGGAAGACCACCTGTAGCGCCATTATATCGATCCTATTGGCAGGGGTCCGACCCTCTGTGTTGATTATATCTACGGATCCTGCTCATAACCTCAGCGATGTTTTCCAACAAAGATTCATAAAGACACCCACGTTGGTCAATGGCTTCACCAATCTATATGCCATGGTACCCTTTTTTTTCATTTGATTTTGTTTTCTGGGTATTGAGGATATATTTATATGCATGGGGTCAATATGTTCATTACATATATGATGCTTGATAGGAGGTGGATCCTACATCAGAAGATGATGATGTGAGTGGAGGTGAAGGAATGGATGGTTTATTTACGGATTTGGCAAATGCGATTCCAGGAATTGATGAGGCTATGAGCTTTGCAGAGATGCTAAAGTAAGAATATTTCTTTATTCCAAATCTTCACTGGTTGTTGATTCTAGGATTTACTGGAAAAAATATGCAGTCTTGTATGTCTTGGTCACTTGTGTGTGTGTGTGTGTTTTTTTTTCTGATCTATTGTTGTCTGAATGTAATTCTTTGTTACAGATTGGTGCAAACAATGGATTATTCTTGCATTGTGTTTGATACTGCCCCGACTGGACATACACTTCGGCTGTTACAGTTTCCAGCTACCTTAGAGAAGGGACTCGCAAAAGTGATGTCATTGAAAAGCAAATTCGGTGGCCTATTGGGTCAGGTATGACATTGGTATAGCTCAGCTGGTTTTCAATAGATTTCTCTCAACAATGGACCTGTAGATGAAAAGCTGATAGGCTTAGGGTTCTGTTTGGTGACCCTTGTCCTTGGTCTATAGCTGGCCAAGTCATAGACGATCGGTGGAGATAATTTGTTGTTACCTTCGTTCTCTATCGTCGATTAGTTCTTTCAGCTCATGAAAGTTGAAACTCATTGTGACAGATAACCCGTCTTTTCGGGATTGACGATGAATTCGGGGAGGATGCACTTGTGGGGAGGCTTGAAGGCTTGAAAGAGGTGATTGAACAAGTTAACAAACAGTTTGAAGATCCAGTAAGTTGTACCATTCTCTAGTCTGTTTCTCTTACATTCTTTAACATACATTTATGTTTTCATTGAACATTATATCACGAAATATTACCTTAAAATTAACAAGGAAAAGAGCTGCAGGTGCCATTACAGATCCACTAGAGCTTGCGAAGTGTGTTGAAAGCATTGGTTTCACTTTCCAAATGTGTTTATGTATATATATATGTGTGTGTGTGTGTGTGTGTGTGTCTAAATGAAAGTTTAGTAAAATGCTTTTTCCTTTTGGCAGGACCTGACCACCTTTGTGTGTGTTTGCATTCCAGAGTTCCTTTCTCTCTATGAAACAGAGAGACTGGTGCAGGAACTCACCAAGTTCGAGATTGATACACACAATGTTGTCATTAACCAAGTAATTTTCGACGATGACGGTATGGTTACGTACTTTCTTACTACATATTTTCGAGATAGAGTTTCCCTTTCTCCTCATTCCCATTAGAATTGTTCTTTAAACAAAACGGTTACCATTCAATCGGCCCGTGTTTTAATTTAAGAGGTGGAGTCCAAGTTACTAAAAGCAAGAGTGCGGATGCAACAGAAGTATCTCGATCAGTTCTACATGTTATATGATGATTTCCACATCATTAAGCTGCCACTGCTGCCGGAGGAGGTGAGTTCAAGGATAAACCTTCTGCTTTCAACTATGCATCAATCATTCATTATGTTATTTACCTAGTATCGATCATCGTTTTCATATGTTGGTAGCCATTTTACCATTTCAATATGTTAGCCTTTGGATGGTCATGTATGTAGGTTACTGGAGTTGAAGCACTGAAATCATTCTCGTACCATTTTCTCACACCGCACGAGCCGGCCATTGTCCGAGGAACGAAAGAAGAACTCGGGCGAAGAATAGGCGCATTAAAGAAATATATAGCGGACAGCGAAGCAGAACTTGAGAAACATGGATGATGAAACTAAAGGGTCTGATTGCTGTATATGTCTTCCGATGGCATTTTTTCCAGGGCGGCCATTTGGTCAGCCACATCTTAATATTATTATGCGGCGTTGGAGAATGTCTTTTAGCTTTCTATTTTGTTGCTGGATAATGTTGCAGTGCATTTAGATTATTTTAGAGATGATTGCTTACAATACTTTTTTACCTTTGAAAGAATGACATAATAAGCTGTTGCCCTATTAATGATATAAGGCAATCTTTTATCTGCTCTTCTTGTTTTTGCATGGGGCATCAAAACCATTGAAAAAAGTAAAATTCCACACCTGATCCTTCTACTATACTTAAATTTTAAATTTAATCTATGAACTTTATTTTTTTTAAATCACATCTACATAGAAAAATACACGTCAGGGTGATGGTAGGAATGAGTTTCTTTATCTATTTGAATTAACTAATAATATCTTAATTGTTTTGTTTTATTTTTCTTCCTAAATACCTTTTGCTTGTGTATGGTGATTCTTAAGGATTTGTTTAAAGTTTAAAATGATTAAATAATATACATATCCATCTTTGTCCAGGATTTTATTTCGAGTTTTAATCATTTTATAATATAGTATATTAAAATATATACAGTCTTTTAAAATATATATATATATATATGTGTGTGTGTGTATTTTTGAAAATAAATATAGATTTTGAAAAAATATAGTACATATTATATAGCATATAAGTACGTGTATATATATATAGTTTTTAGAAAAAATGTATAGTATATATGTTATATATAGCATAAATTATATATAGTAGGTATATTATTATATGTTATATATTATTTAAAAATATATATATTATATTATTATTAATATTATTGTTGTTCTAATTTGCATGTTTGGTACATGTCTATGTCCAAGTTCAGGTTTAGGGCTCAAGTCCAACTCACAACACAACAAGGGTCCAAATCTAAGCCCAATTGAACCTGCAAGCCTGATCTAACAAGCAGTCCTTGTTAGGGTCCGAAACAAAAGCACCTATTTTCCTAATCCAACAATCGTGGAAGGACAAAGATCCAAACTCGTATTTTAACCTTTTATAATTTTGGGGGCTTTAAAAGCAAAAACGCAAGCAGAAACAGCCTCGGTTTTGTATGAAAAAAGGGCAGAATAAAAAGCTTATTTTTCTCCTTCATGTTTATGTTTTTCTTTCTTTTTTATGTTTGTTTTCTTTCTTTTTTAGCATGAATATGTAAGATATGGTGAGAGTGAGGGGTCGTGAGTGGTCTGTCGCAAGCAGGTCAGCGCTCATCGGCGTTGGAGACGGTGTTTGGTAGTCGGTGGCCATTCGACCGTTGTTAGAGGAGTTCGTTTTGAGTTTCGGTTAAGGGAGGAGCCAAGGTTAGAATAGGAGTAGACGCCTCGATTTAGCCTCGCCGGTGTTTTTTCGTGTAACCGATTGAGGAGGGAGTGAGGAACGACCACGTGTATTCTGTTAAGTTTTGGGGGGATTGTTTTTTTTAATATTTCGATTAATCATGTGTTAAGTCCCCCAATCTTAGCATGTTATCACTATTGGTCATTTTACGGGCTAATCCCCCTTAAGTCCCTCCACTTCTGCCTTGTTTTTACATCTTGGTCACTATGCATCTGTTGTTTTATTTATTGTGATTTTGACCCCTTATTTTGCTTTTTTTTTTAATTTGGCCACCAATCTATGCATTTTTATTATTTCGAATTAACTGCTAACTTTTATTTTATCTCACATTAACCACTAACTTTTATTTTCTTGCATTCTAACCATTATTTATTTATTTATTTATTATTTCTCATATTTGATTCGACCTTGTGGTTACTCGATCTAAGGTACAATCCACATTATTACGGTTCAAACTTTACTAACTCCTAACTTTTTATTATTTTTTTATTAATTTGTTTGGTTTATTATTTGACCTTGTGGTTACCCGATCCGAGTACGATCCACATTATTATGGTCCAGACTCTACTAACCATTAACCACTAACTTTTCTAACTTACTAACATTCTAACTTTTATTTTATCGTTCGAACTAACATTCTAACTTTTATTTTATTGTTCATACTAACATACTGACTTTTTTTATTTTTATTGTTCTTACTAACATTTTATTTTATTGCACAAAATAACCCGTTAATTTTCTAACATTCAAATATTCAACGACCTTGCGGTGATCTGTCTTGGGTACGACCCACGTTATTTATGGTCCGGGTTAAACGGTTAATAACAACCTCCTAACTTTTAAATTTATGCATTTTATTTATGTCCTTTTAATTTCCAACATTTAATTTTTTGTATTTTCATTTAAGCATCTTAACTTACACCTCGTTTTATTTTAGTCACTGATATTGCCTTGTGGTATATTTATCCCTAATGCCTATACTTTTCACTGTTTAGGTTTCAACCTTATTTATTTATCCTCTTATTTGGCTGGTATTTTAATCTTGGCTTTGGTTTATAAAGTTTTCATGTTGGTCTCTTGTTTATACTAGTAGACTACCGATTTTTTATTCGTATTTTAGATCCGAAATCAAACTTGGTTATCTTTATTATTGCTACTCTTTTTTTTGCACATATATTCATATCTATATTATTATTCAAACTTTATTTTTTATATAAATCGTCATTTTTATAGAGAAAAGATAAATTTTGTTATGAGAGAAATCTATGAAGACATCTCCCAACTATAAGGGAAAATGTCTTTCAAAGATTTTCTGCACAAAAGGTTATTTTTTGTATTCGATAGTCTTTTTTTATTATATTTTTATCTTATTATTTTATTTTATCTCATTCTATTTTTATTTTATTTTTATTTTTATCTTTGATATAAATAAAATGTAAGGCAATGTCTTTTTGTGAAGGAATCCATGGAAAAGTCTCCTAACTACAAAAGAAATGCATTCCCGAGGATTGTTCACACAAAAACATTCTTTATCTGAGCGTTTCTAAATCATTTAATATAATACTATACTATTTTAAATTATGTCAACCATAAAATTAAAGAATCACCATTTTGTGAGAGAAATTCATGAAAAAATCTCCTAACTATAAAGGAAGTGCATTTTCAAGGATTGTTCGTACAAAATGATGTGATTTCACTCATAAAAATATTTGTAATCTTTTGGGTCGAATAACAGCTTTACTCTGTAAAATATATTTGTGCTCTTTAATTTTTTATGCCATTGCATTTATTATTTGTCATCATATTCTTATTTGAAATAACAACGTTGTTTTTAGTTTTTTTTTAAATTGATATTTTTTAAATAAATTTGAATGAATGGAAGGATCATAATTTAAATATATTTTCAAGTTTGTAATTTCCCAATATTTAGACATCACATAATCATTTAGGTACCAAACTTGGGCGTTGTGGGGGAGCTTACCCTCCCCTATACGTAATCGACTCTTGAACCCTAAAAAATGAATTTTTGGTAAAGCATAGACCATTTTTTGTCTTTTAATGATTTTTTCTGAACTCATTAAAATTATATTTTAGGTATTCAACCTACCTGACTCAAAGGTTGATGGAGACTCCAAAATCAAATTATTTCAAACCTAAATTCCATCTTCTTTCCCCGATATAATTTTTAAAGTCAAACGAATCCCCAAGGGTGACATTATGACAGCTTGGCGACTCCGTTGGGGACTTTAGAGAGTCAAGCCATAACCGAGTATTTGTTGTTTTTATTCTTGATAATTACAAACTTAAATTGCATTTAATTTATGATCCTTTTGTTTATTTTGAGTTTCAACATATCATGCATTATTATATTTTTAACTAATTGATTTTTGATTTTATTGGTCTTCAGATTTGAACAAATTTTTTGAACCTGTAAAAGTGTTATCTTTTTTCATGTTTTTAAAGGTTTGTGAGTTTCTCCTCACACACAACACATGCATTTACATACCATAAGTTCATTTACGAGCTTTGTCCCTTTTAAGTTGAGGTGAAAGCTTAGCCAAGGTGAGATAACTTATTTCTCCGTATGGGTTTAGCAAGTAACCTTTGGGGTTCATATATCTTATGTCTACGTGAGATAAATTATTTCTCTGCATGAACACAATTTAATGTATCCTCTCAAATTGAACTCGATTCGCATGAGCCTGTAATGGGCCAGGGTTGAGGGTTTGGTAGCTCAAGGGGCACTGACATCAAGGACAATTCGAGTACCTCTTCCTGTTAGAGCCTAAACCATGCATGTAGAGAATCGTAGAATGATCACTCTATGTAGAGCCATGCAGAACTTTTGTCCGTTAGTAGGTGCCAAAATATGTGTACACGAAGGATGAATGTCTCTCAACCTTTACCTTTTGCTTTAAATTCATAGAATAAATTTCTTTTGAAAGCTTTGAATTAGATACCATGCGGTTAGGATCAATTTCGCGAAAATAAATCATTTTGGGTAAAAAGCATGTCAAGGTAGGATTGCTATTTAATGAAAACATGCTCGGTTAGATATCAATATTGGGTAGGTGTTATATTTAAATAGCATCTTTTAATTATATCGATTATCTTACATGTACTAACTCGTTTCTTTTTTGTCATTTTCACTTTTTTTTTGCATTGCATTTCATCAACATGATATATTACGAAAGTGTTGATCCTCAAGAGGATATTTAAGTGAAAGTTTTCATATAGAGAGATAAAATTTTCAATCAAACAGTCACGTACATAAAATTTTCAATCAAACAGTCACGTACACAGACATGCACCTATGGTTAAAAAAGTTCAAAGAATGCAACAAGGAAACTTGCTTGAAGATCATGCAACATTCGAGACTGGAAAGATGATCCACTTATCTGAAAAGTAATCCAGTAGTAGAGTCTTATCTACGATTGTTCCATCTCTAATCACCAAGGAGTGACGCGTGATTCTAGCACTGCAGGGGCATTAACTGAGTTAAGTTTTAGTTCTTGAGGGACATAATTTTCGAGGACGAAGCTCTGAGATGAAACATCGATCATTTTCAGACTCAGCGACCAAGCGA